TTCTTAACTGTGAGCTCCCTGGAAATCAATTAGGCTGCACTAAGAACGGGTGCTGTGCCATTAGAGCAAACATGCCCCAAGAAGCAAACATATTAAGGATTAATTAAACACCAGGTTTTATTTAATTAAGCCTCTTCTCGTAAGTACGTAGAGGCAGGAATCTGGAGCTACCATCCCGTCTTGCTTTCACTCCTGTCCCATTTTCAGCAGAGCGTTTAACCCGGGTTGGTGCTGTGTAAAACGCGATGCTCAGGCTGACGCAAACCCCTTCTGGGGGACGGACACACGGACGCGACGTCGCTCCGAGGCGGCTGAAGGCCCCGGAGCCGGGGTTCGCCCCGTCCCCGCTCCCATGCGTGACAGCCTCCTCAGGGAAGCCTCCCCTGAGCACCCAAAGCCCTTCTGGGGTCTCCGGGGGCGACAGGCGCCAGCCCTGAGCACCGGCTGGGACCCCCCACCCCGCTCTCACCCTCGCTGCATTTTTTAATGAGAAACTTGTCGCTCCCGTCACCCGCTCGCCTGCAGCCAGAAAGGCGCCGCGGCCTCTCCTGTCGTGACTGGTTTAAAGGTCTAGAGCCAGACCAGGAAATAACGAAGGCAAGCTAACGAGACCAAGTCCAAGGTCATTTGAGGCACTATTGCTCCCTTGCCTTCTGCACACCCCGTCTGTGGCAGCGGAGGATCACACGCAGGTATAAACCACCTCGCCCCAGGGCCCTCCGCCACCTCCCTGCGGACACAGGAGCTGGCCCAGCCCGTCCCTAGCGCCTGGCAGCCTTTTCCCTCTCTATTTCACCTTCACCCTGCCCGGTCTGAACTCCCCACGCTCCCAGGGAGGGGCACAGCGAGAGGAAGGACGGAGGGGACGGTCCCTCACCCCACACACGCAGGGTCTTGGTCAGCCTTGGCCCGGGACGAATCACTTGGCCGGCGAGCAAGTGGAGCAGATGGTTGCCCAAAATCCCCCGGGGTGGGGGGGAAGGAGCAGAAGCTCGGCCCCAGCCCCTCCACCCCGCCGGGCTGCCGAGGAGCATCACGCCCTGCTCAGGCCTGACCTAAACCCCACAGCCCTCGGGGTGCTGCGCGGAGCCACCAGTAACCTCTGAGAGCGCCCTGTGCCCCCCCTGCAGAGGGGCTGGGACGGGGGGAGGGAGGTGAAAGATTCTGCTCTAGAAGATCTCGGGCCGCGCGCTGATTCTGACTTCGAAAAATTCCTTGTCAGCAGCTTAGGGAGCACAGAAATAGCTCAGTGCAGATTAACTCCGCTGGAATTACTGTTTCATTAATGGCACCAGTGAGCGTTTGCCAACGCGCATCCAGCAACGGGAGGAGCTTTTTCCAGACCAAAGTTGCTCCAGGACTTGGTATTTTCCCGTGGCTCTGAGCCCTCGTTAAAAAACCTCCGAGTTTTTCTAGCAACAAGGAGCAGGTACGCTGAGGAGAGAAGTAGAAATCTGTCATCAAAATGAGGAGAAAAGCCCCTGAGCATCCCCCCGCTGCCCATTTTTGGGTGCAGCAGTTCCCCCCCGTGCTCTCGGCAGCAGCAATTCCGAAGGGGCCAGCACTGCCCTGTCAGGGCTCACCCCCCCTGTGCCGACTTCCCAGGGACTGCGCAGCCGGAAAGAACCACCAGGATTTTATTGATTTGAAAATACATTAACCATAGAGAATAGAGCTTTAATTTTTCCTTTCTGAACAACAATAAGGAACGGTTTACATTAAAAAAAAAAAAGCATGAATAAAATAATATAAAACAGATATTATACCACAGTGTGGAATTCAAATATTCTAAGAACATTAGCAGCACTTCTACAAATAGATTAAAAGCTGTAGTGCTCATTAAGCTCAGATAGAGCAACTCCCAGAGACCAAAATGACATTCAACATAGAAAAGCAGCAATTCAGTGTAGGGCAACGTCAAAGTCTAACGCGGGTACATCAGATAAATTCATAACCCCGCTGGTGAGGGGGAAGCCCCGTCCCCGAGAGCCGCAGCGGGGTGACAGCCCCGCGTCACCCGCTCGCCCCGCCAAGTCCCCAGAACACAACCCAAGCCCTCGGGAAGTGACAATCGTGGGTCTAAGGTTACAACCGAGTTGGATTTTCAACAAAAATTTTCCTTAATGCCGTTTGTGAAAACCAGCTTTCTCCTTCCCTGGCTCCTGGGAATCACCCTCCAAGAAGAGACTGAATTTCTAGGAATTTAAGTAGATCTTCTTACACCATCATGAAGTTTTTAGTATCTCAGTACCCAGTGTTAAAATTTTCGATTCTTTCACTTCCTCAGCAGTGAAGCCACACTGATTTTCTTAAAACTCCCACGTACCTTTTGAGACCTCGTGCATAGTTTAAATTTTAGCTTTGACTTATTAAAAAAAAAAAAAAATAAAAAAGGTGCTTTTACAAAAAAGCTGATGACTGGTGGCCTTCCTTGCAGGGTCGGCCCCGCAGCTGGTGGGGACACGGCCCTTCCCGTGCCAGCGCCTCGGGAGCAGAGGCTGTCACCCGCAGCTCCACCTCCGCAAGCAAAATCAATTTCAAAAAGCAAGTTCTTAAACCACTGAACGGGAATTTAAGGTTGAATATGGTTATCACCAATCTGAGACAGCTGCTAAAAGACTGCTATGGCTATTCCAGCAACGTACATTCTCCAGGAAATTCAGGATTCGAAGTTTAGAAGAAACCCAAACACGCAGCTATGGCACCACAACACCTCACCTTCGGCCCACGCTGACACCGTGAAACATAAACATGGTGGGACCAGGGAGCACAAAGGCTTCAGGTGGCCTTAATCAGTGATAGGTGTTTATCTGGGGGCAGACGACGAGGGCAACATCCTCCAGCGGAGACCGCTGGAGCGCCTGAAGGAGCGGGGAGCACTGAGTGGCATTTTATCCTCTTCATGGTACCTGAAAACCTCTATGAGAATTTCTGAAAACTGGTTCTGGCGAGAGTTAGACCCTTCCCTATTGCGAGCAATCTGTCACTTCACCTGTAAGTCGTGCTCCTTCACTATCAGTTTGTGCTCACACGACAGTAAAATGCTGAAATGTGCCCAGAACCGCTCGGTACTTGTGAAAATTCCCAGAGTGAAAGATAATCTGACAGATGTTCAGATGAAATGAGAATCATTTTGGCCCCACTGATGGACAGGCTCTGAGGCTACCACTAGCTGGACAGCAATGCCACAAGAGAGCAGCAATTTCAGACAGCCGAAGGTATTTTTTAAAGCAAACTTACGTGGATGAGAATCCTGAAACTGGTCCCATAACTGTTCTGAGGACTGTTTGCCACAGTGGCTCTCAGTGCAGAGACTTAGCCAGCTACTAAATGGGGAAAGAAAGGAAAACTTGCCAGCCAGGTTAAAATAAGTAAACAAATAAATAAAGGAGAAAGAATAAGAAGAATCTCGTCCCATAAATTGCTCTTGGCCACAAGGCTTGTGCCTCCAAGGTGGGATTTAGGGATGGGCTCAGCTTGCCCACGGATGGGTGCCCACCAGAACTGCGATTCCAAGGTACCACACCAAGAGCAGTCACTGCTCTTCATCTGTTTTTTACCTCTCAGTGACAATGTTGCCAAGACCTGCCCTTCTACTGCTGGCTCTAGTTAGAATAAAAGGAATATTTGGAAATGTCAAGGGACATTCAGAATGTATGAGGCTGCATGAGAGCAGAACGGGTGGCTGCAGGGAGTTCCCGTGCAAGAAACCCTCTCAGTCTTCACGAAAAATGTTAATAGCAAAGCGAAGAGACTCGGTAAAACGCCCATAAAAATGACACGTTTAGGAACAAAGACAACTTCTGAAGTGTTCACGTGAGCAACGCTAAGAGATGGGGACCAAGAGTTACGGGTCGGTTGCACCAGTGGAAAGCTGAAATGCAGAAAGAGGATCCGTCCGTGACTCCCGCGGGGGAACGCGGGGCACAAACACTCTCTGCATTTAAACACCCCAGGGTTATCTGCGAGCTGAGCAGCTCCAGCGAAGAAGATAAATCGAAAACGCCACACCCCCTGCGGATGCTCTGCGGGTGGAACCGCTCGGCCCATCCTTGACCGGGGCTCAGCTCTGGAGCGGCCCAGGGTGGGGAGCGCGGGCCGGGGGCAAGCGGGGTGACGGGGACGCAGCGGCCCCGAGCGGGAGGAGCAGCAGCTCGACCCCGCGTCGTCCCCCAGGGCCCGCAGTGCCGTGGCAGGGGGTGGATTTCAGCTGCACAGAGCTGCGGGGATGAGACATTCCTCTCCCCCGAGGAGCCAGAGAAGATGCCTGTATATGGGCAACGCGTTCCCCCAGACCGGCTGCTCCCTCCGCGGCGCCCAGGGCCACGAGGATTCACGCTGTTGGAAACCCGGAGTAACGCTTCTAAAACCCAGAGTAATGCTTCTACCTCGGGGTGATGTGGCAGAGGGGCAGAGCCAGGCAGGAGAGGGCCTGCAAACAGCCGCGCGACAAAAACCTGCGCGGAAATTTTGAGCAGCTTTTAAGCATCGACCAGATCTCGAGGCCCAGGCTCCTGGGGTTGCCTCCCTGCGGGCAGACCTGAGCCAGGACACAGCTCCGGCGCGGGGACTAACAGACACGGCCTGCCCGGGGCCTCCCGCGCCCGCTGCCCTGCCTGTGCCCGCACGCAGCGTCTGGCAGGGTCTGGCAGCACCGTCCGCCAGCGCAGGGCTGGACATGGCCCAGGGCTGCTGGCTCGGGTCTGCGCGGGGACACAAAGCTGGAGCTCCAGGTTCAGCCCCGAGCACTGGGGAGCTGAGGGGTTTTGGTGACTTTTGGAGGAGCTGGAGCTGCAGGCGCCCCTTCCTAACAAACAGCACGATCAGCTGCAAAGAAGGACTTTACTCCTGACACGGGTACCATATTCTGTGGGCTATCCCATTTCTCTGCGACCCTCAACTCTGCAACCGCTCTGACCCAAAGCTAATCCCAGAGCAGGCACAGCCCGAGCAGCTCCTGCAGGCTCGACTCAGCACCGTAACCAGAACAAAGCTTTGGGTTTTTTTTCCTCCTCCCTTTTTTTCTTCTTTTCCAGTTTTAAAGTCAGAACTAAAACCAAGCCCAGTTGAGGTCCTGACGGTGGTTCTGCTCTGGGCTTCCTGTTGCCATACCGGAACAATTCTCACAGCACAGGGACAGTGACAGATTGGCACATCATGGAATAGGTGCTCTAGAAACCACACAGTTCTTAGAAGCAAAATATTTCTTCCCCCTGCCCCCCCCCCCTCAAAAAATAACCCACTTAATTCACATCTTTTCTCTCTATACTGTATATATATATTATATATAGACACGATTTTCTGGTAAACATTTACAAGATATCGTGAAGAACACTGAAAAGATAATATCTCCATTTGCATAACAACACACACTCACACACTTCAGTATACAAGGACACACAGTAATGTACAATCAATAAATAAATACTTTTTCCCCCCCACCCCGAGAAGTTACTCGAAAAACACTGCTATTGAGCGGCCCAAAGACACTCTCAGTTAATACAGACAGCAAATATTGTGCAGAATTTCTTGGCTGTTTTTGTTTAAAAACCAAGGAAAGAAAAAACAGAAGCTTGAAAGATAAAAGTGTCAGTGATGTTGCTTGATAGGACCATGCTCAAGCTGACCCCCTGGTTCCCGTCCCGCAGGAGGGGAGGGCAGAGCACTCCCCCTTCGAAGAGGGCGATGCAGCCAAACGTTACCTGTCCTAGGACCTGGAGGGAACAGCAACAGCCTGGCGGGGCAGGCACGAGCTTTTCGCTCTGCTTTGTGGGAAGATGAGAGACTCACACGCGACCTGGCAGATTCGAAGCTTTTGTTTCCTGTGCTACCCCAGACCCAGCGCTCTTTGGAGATCTGCTGCAGAAAACTGCTCCAAAGCCTTTCCGAGACTCTTGGCACCCATTTGCCTGCTGGGATGGAGAGACACCAGGGGCTCCCCGTTGCTCTCACCCCCTGCTGCAGCCTCTTCCCCAAAGGGTTCACTTCACCACCATTCCCTGGTTTTTCTACTGCAGGCTCCATGTCCCAGAACTGCAGACAGATGAGCCCGTTTGCTCAGAAACTGAAAACCACCTCAGCACGCTCTGCAGAACTTTTCTGAACAGCCGTTCTCTCTTCTGCAGATTCACATCTGTCTCTTCTCTGCAAGCAACATCTGACACATGCCACAAATAAATACAAAACACAGTCAGCACACAGATGTTCCCCAGAAGGAGGGAAGGGCCCCTTTTCCCTTCTGGTGAGCAGCACTCCAACAGCAAAAGAGCAGGGCCTTGTCTCGCAGAGGGGAGGAGGAGAGCACACACACACACACACACACCACACATCGCACGGAGGGGGAACACGAATTTTTGCAGCAAAACTCGAGAGAAAGTACCCTTAGAGAGAGCTACAACCCAGCGTCTTCCCTGCTGCTGAAAGCACACGTTCACGGCAGCCTTCTGTGGCCGTGACAAAGCCCTCCCTGGCTGAAGTGGACCTACCACCAACCCGCCCCTCTTCCTTTCCCTTTATTGTTTTTACCTGAGTTGAAAAATGAATCCAAACCCTCCGTCGCGCAGCCGTGGCACGGCACAGCAGCTCAGCTCTCACGCTGGTAGTGCTGGAGAGGCACTTCATGCAGTGTGCTCCAGGGGCTGCGACGCTGGAGAGCCACTGCAGGAAAAGCGGCCGCAAAAGTGCATCTTCCAAAAGCAAAGACCACTCAGGGACCTTGGGCTCTTTCCCTCTTCACAGGCGTGTGAAAGAAGCCCACCGAGACCTAACTGGAGACTTTCAGTGGACTTAGGGGGCTTCGCAGCCAGCCCCAGAAGCACACAGAAAACCTGCAGGCACCAAGGGGATTGTTTGCACTGTCTAGCTTTGAGCAGCTGGTCTTATAATTAACAGAGGAAGAGATGGGCACCTCCAGAGGGAAAGTCAGGACAATCCCCGAAGTCGGAGCTCTGACTTGTCCCCCTGAGGAGCCCTCCCCAAACAGGGGCTGCAGAGGGACCATAAGGAGACCAGACTCCTAATACGAGCAGCTAGAGTAAGGCAGGTGAGAAAACCTCAATTCTAGAGTTCCCAGAGGAGGTTAGGACCAGATTTACCAGTGTTCAGAGCGTTACAGAGGCTGGATTTTGAAAGAAAAACCCAATGCTGAATTCAGAGCTCTTCTAAAAATCCATCCAGAGATGAAACTCTTGTGTGCTCAGATATTGTAGTAACAAACAACGTAAAAATCCCGGGGAGAAAACAGAGCCCTAAAAAAAAAATGAAAATACTAAAGGGGATGCTATGGATCAAGGGACAGGATCAAAAGAAGAGGAATTTCCGTGATCAAAGTCCCTCTCTGTTCCTGGCAGAACCTCATGATCTCGGTAAGAAAGTGGGTGCTGGCAGCACCCTGGTGTTGCTCAGGCTGCAGGGCTGGCCCCGGCCTCCCCGTGCCACGGGGCAGGGGCGTGCGAGGCAGCAGCTTTACTCCCCTGGGACAGGGGGTGCGGAGCGCCAGGAGCGCCGCAGCTCGGCCCCCGCAGCCCCCAGCTCGGAGCCGGGGCGCTGGCAGCCGCCTCGGCGGTTGTTGGTGGGGGGACACCCCGCTTGCTGCAGCGAGGCGAGGCAGCGACTGCCCGCGTCCTGCTTCCGAGGAGAGTCCTCAGCAAGGAAATGCAATCGTACGGATCTTTGGTTACATCACCGAAGAAGGCTGCGAAGAGCTGAGCCGGGGCCCCCGGACCTAACACTGACCACAGCACTTGGAGCGCTAAGGGTACTTCCAGTACAGACAGCAGCGTGTGTCCAACTACCTCACCTTCCACAGGCGTGGCACTGGGAGACAAAGGAGAAGGGGAGGAAGCATCGAAGGGGAGTCACGGCTCTTCGTCTGGATGCCTCGTCTTCCCCACGGCCTTCACTTGTTCTCGATCAGAGTCTGGACTTTGTAGACGAGGTCCCGAGCCAGCTTCAGGATCTGCTTGGTGTTGTGTCGCTCGGCCATTTCTGGAACAGAGGCAGAAGGAAGGCCCCGGGGGGTCAGACCCGAGCGACCGGTGCCCTGTGGGGAGCCCCGGCCTCGCAGCGCTCTGCTGCTCAGCCCAGGCTGCCAACTCCTGCCCGAGTTCCCGCGCAGGGACCCCCGACTGTGGAGCCACCATCACCCAGCCCGGGATGGCAGCCAGCAGGGAGCCCAGGCTACGCTCCCCGCTCCCTGCGGGCACAGCACGGTGGGCTGTTGCCAAGGATGGCACCACCAGACACCCCCCGAGCCCGACTGGGGCAAAGGGGTCTCTCTACCATCGTGCTCCAAGCACCAGCCACACGCTGCTCTCTTCGTTTTAAAACATTTACCAGTACGGCCCAGCCATGATTGTCTATAGCCAGACGTGCGCATGCCTACATCAGAGCAGCTGCCACAAATTCAGCCCAAGAGAACACAAGCTGTACCATTGAAAAACTTGATGATGTCTGTAAAATCCATGTTGTTCTCCAAAATGATGTCCCGGTACATTTCCACCAAAGCCAGGGCTATGAAGAGCACATAGTGTGCAGAGGAAACGTGTGCAGCTGCCCAGATGGTCTCCCAGACAGCGAACACGTCATCGTACACCAGCTCTGTTAAGAGAGGGAGAAGCCCAGCAGTTACTACCCCAGCCACGGGTTTGCCATCGTCCTGGCTCCCAGCGGGCATGGCACCACAGGGAGGACACGCTGCCTGGTTTCTTCCCACAGGAACCTGTTCTAGTTGGAAGCAACAAGCATCTGAGAGACAAACATTCCTGCCTGCGGCGGGTGGCACAGGCTTCGGGACACGAGCCCGGCGGAGGCTCAGCAGCAGCTCTGGAACAGCAGGTTCTGTATCTAGAGAAGTCAGCCACAAATCTACCAGGGAAAGCGAAACAGGAGCACGTGGTGAAAAGAGAAGTTCCAACATGTGAAGCTGCGGGGTGCACTGAGAAGCGTGGCAGGCCCCACGCTCCCTCCCCGTTTGCTGCTCCCGGCTGCCTCCCTCCCAGCACACACCTCTCTTGAAGTCCAGGAGAAACCATCGGTAGCAGAAGTAGAAATGTGTGTAATCGCCGTTCTGGTGCATCAGCTCGAAGAGCTCAGAGTCCAGAATCTGTCAAGAAAAGCAAAAAGGAAACTCAGTGTGCAGCGGAGGCACCAGCCATTCCTCTGCCTCCCTCCGTGCCCACGGCTCTCCTGCTGCACCACGGCACCTTCCACGCGGCTCCTCCCTCCCTGGCAGCCCTGGCACACGTTGTTCCAGGCTGTTGTTATAGTCCCTCCTCTTTCCCACCCCAAAAAGCTCCTCTCAGCCCCTCCGAGACCCCTGTCCCATGATCAGCTTCCCCGCTCTGGCCCGAGAGGCCGCCCTGTGCCAGGACCTGGATCAGAGATCTCATGTTGGCAAAGTGGGTGTCCATGGCTCCTCCGTGGGGGAAGTTCTGATTCATCCTCTTCATCAGCTCCGTGAAACAGCTGAAAGCCAGAGCCTCTGCACAGGGAGGGGAGAGAGTCACTGCTCTGCTGCAGCTGGGCCCGCATCCCCCCCTGCAGCAGGAACACCCTTCCCCGCACACACACCGGGGCTCTGGCTCAGAACAGCCTCACGCTGCTAAAGGTACTCGCTGTCCCCAGGTCGGGTTCCGGGGGGTCAGACAGCAGCAAGGACAAGCAGGACCTTATTAGGAAGGATTTCTGTGCAGAAGGGGCTGTTGGGCGTTGGAATGGGCTGCCCAGGGCAGGGGGGAGTCCCCGGGATCCCTGGGGGGGTTGAAGAGTCGGGCTGAGCCAGCGCTGAGGGATCTGGGGGAGTTGGGAAGGGTCAGGGGGAGGCTCATGGTGGGGCTGGAGGAGCTGCAGGGGCTTTTCCAACCCCGCTGATTCTGTGACTGTGATTCTGTGACCCTGTCCCCAGCCACTCCACGCCGCACACGGGACCCTCCTGCTGCCAAGGGCCCAGCACGTCCCCCCACACGCTCCCACAAAGGCGTGGGGCGAGCAGAGCGGAGCCACCCACTCACCATCATCCAGGATGACCAGGAGAGGGGCCAGCAGGTCACACATGCCCTGCACGTAGCCAATCTCGATGTGCTGCCAGATGTAGCTGTGGGATTGAGCAGCAAAGGCGACCCGTGAGCCCTCCCTGTGCCACCGCCTGCCGCCGCCTCACCCCTGCCCGTGCCTCCGCTCCCGGGGGCCGGCGTTTCCCCCACGCTGCCGCCAGCGCAGGGCGGCGGGCAGGGCAGATCAGGCCTCTTTATTCTGCTACACCCGGGCTCCGTCCCTCTGCCAGCGGCCTGTAAATGATTTAAGTTCCCGTGGTGACCTTCAGGGAAGCCACGGGAGGGTGTTGATCCAGGGCTGTGCCGCAGCCAGCGCACGGGAATCAGCGCAGGGACAAGTGAAATGAAAAAGCACAGCAAGGTGGGGCGGTCGGTCAAAGGGCAGAGAGTGGTAAGAGTTTGTTAATTTATCTCTCATTCTCCCCCCCTTCCCCCTCAGCTCATCCTCCTGGTGCTCTCTGCCTGCTTCGCCTCCCTGGTCCCCGCATCCCCGGCAGCGACCGGCCCGCAGAGATATCTTCCCTTATTTGGTAGAAGTCAAAACGCGTTCAGAAAGGGCTCAGCGCCGCTGCTGGCACAAGGGAACAATCTTTCCCATCCTGCCCACTAGTTTTCCAAACTCTGCCGTATTGCAGGTCTCATCTCAGCAGAGATCTCCAACTCGGGCTGTCAGACGAAGTGACAGCCCTAACGAAACAGCAGCTTCTCCTCATATTTGCAAGATGAGTAATAATATTTTAGCCTTCGCTGCCCCTGAAGCAGCCGCAGCTGCTGAGCTAGAGCTGAACTGAGTCGGTGAATGTCACGCAGCGACCTCTTGGTCACAGGGACTCAGCAAAGAGAATCAGAAGCGCACCCAGGTATCGCTGTCTCCTGGGCAGGCACTAACCGCTCGGCTGCTTCAGGCACCTCCTCATTAGCACCACAGCTCTGATCCTCATTAAAACATTTTCTGGATATATCCTGGAGAGCAGCAGGGCCGGGCAGCCCCGGGGAGCCTCCCGCTTGGGGCACCAACCCAGCCACGGGGCAGAGCAGCACACGGCAGGACGCTGCTCCCCTCGCTCCGGTGACCGCGAGGACCTCGGGGACAACGAGGGGATTTGGGGGAGGAAGTCAGAGGCGAAACTCAGTAATCAGAATAAAGTCTGAGGCTCCAGCCCCTCAGGGAAACCAAGCACCAGCGCCTGGAGCCCGCGCCCGCTCCCACCTGCACATGATGTTGCGGAGCTTCTCCAGGTTGGCGGGGGTGAAGTACCAGTAGTTGCGGTCACACCGCTGCACGTCCTTCTCGATGCGGTGCAGGTTCACCGTGTACATGTCCAGCAGCTCTGGCTGCCCAAAACAAAAGCCAAGTTGATTTGTTTTCAACTAAAAAACAAAAAAAAAAAGTTGCAAGGGCAGCGCAGTGCCAGGGCAGGGTTTGGGAGGAAGATGAACACCCCCCACACACACAGCCGCGGGATTAGCACAGGGGAAGCGCAGGTAAAGAGCGGGGCACCCAGGGAGAGCCCCACGCAGCGAGTGAGCCTGGACATACCGAGTAGGTGACACCCGACGAGGAGACAGCAGAGGTTTCGCTGTTGGCCAGATCAGCTACAGCCAGAGAATCCACCTGCGGGTACAAACTCTCCATCTCCGGCTCCTCAGAGAGGTTGTCTTCACTCTCCACCAAGCTTTGCTTTTCAGCTTCGCTGTCTGCCCAGCTCTCTACCACAGTCAGGGCCACGGTGTCACGATCTCGCAGGACCCCTGACGAGCTCTCACCCACAGGAACAAAATCCACGCTTCCGCCGGGGGCAAATTCGCCTTCCAGGCTGTCTTGGCCCTGCAGCTTCTCCTCCTGCCGGGCACCATCCGCGTCCTGCGGGCCTGGCACGTCGGACCCGCCGGCCTTTCCCTGAGAGCTGCCCGAGGATTTGTTGGTGTCCAGGGCACTGTCCTCGTTGCTGAAGCTGCGCTCCGAGAATCCCGACGCGATGGAGAAGTTCTGGGAAGAGGGGTGGCCAGAATCAGGGGAACACGCGCCGTTGGGAACCGTCCCATTGGGGATCTTGCTTTGTTTGCCATCTTCCATCTGTTCCACCTCATCGACAGACTCAAACACCTGCAAAGCCCGAGCCGAGAGCCCCGTGAGAGCCAGCAACCCCCCCGCGCTCAGCAAACCACGTTGGGAACGTGGGCACCACAGCCCCAGGAGTGCAGAGAAACTGAGATAAACTGCAAAACGCGGCTCCTGGGGATGTAATGCCCGTGTTCGCGAGGGTGGGGAGGGAGGAAGATCTGCTCTACATCGGCAGGGCTCATACAGGCAACCACTGGAAGAAAGCTCAGAGGACTTGAGGGCATTTTAAACTTAGTAATGCTGTGCCCGGCTGTGGCTCCACGTCTTGGCTACAGTCAGAGAGAGCTTCAGCCTGAGCATCGAGCGCTCTGCCCCGTTTTAACCAGACTCTCGGAGGAATTTCTGGGCACAGGCCTCAGCCGTTAGGTTATTCTGCCTGGATCTGGCAGGCAGGGCTTGGTCATCTGCACAACTCGGAGCCCACAGTCACAGAACCATCTCAGCTGGAAACGCCCTTGCAGCTCCTCCAGCCCCACCATGACCCTCACCCTGACCGTTCCCAACTCCCCCAGATCCCTCAGCGCTGGCTCAGCCCGACTCTTCAACCCCCCCAGGGATCCCGGGGACTCCCCCCTGCCCTGGGCAGCCCATTCCAACGCCCAACAGCCCCTTCTGCACAGAAATCCTTCCTCAGAGCCAGTCTAAAATATCCAGTACCTGCTCCAAAGGACTACGCTTTACTGAGCATCATATATTGGGCTGAACATCATTTAAAGAGGTTGGTTAAAGACACGGTTACTACCACATGGAGCAGCCAAGGGCCCTCAAGTGTGAAGGCCACGTGGGGTTTGGTCCTTCGAGCCCGGGCAGGGCAGGCTGGTGAATATTAAACACCACCAGGCAGTGCGCAGGTCTGACCTCAGCGGCTCCAGAAGCAGTTGGTGAGTCATTTACCTCCTCCAAATACCGCTTCTGTTTGCCAGAAATCAGGAAGGTTATCGAGCAGCGACGGGCCCGAGCCGGGGCAGAGCCCAGATGCTGTTGGGTGGCCGGTGTCTGAAGGAGCAGGAGGGGACAAAGCGCTGCCACTCACCTGTGTGCTGGAGCTGGAGTCGCTCTGCAGCCGGGCGTGATTCTGTCGGCCGGAGCTGCAGCTCTGCGACGACTGCGAGAGAGAGGGAAAAGGCCAGTGAGGGGGCAAAGAGTGTGGTGTCTGGAGCAGGGGGAGGCTCAAGCCACGCTATCAGAGTTGGGCACATCTGCATGTAAAGAACGAGCAGAAAATGCCTCCAATAATTCTCATATTAGACCCGTGACATTCCCATCACATCAACTCTGCCGGGCACATCTGTGAGGCAGCGCCGCACCCCGCCTCTGCCCCCCACTGACATTTACTGCTGGAGGTGACAAAAAACGAAGTCCCGTCCCAGGCTAATCCAGTTCAAACACTGTATGTTTGGGACAGAAAGGAACTGCTTTCTTCTGGCCTACGGAGAGGTCACGCTGTCTCCCTGGAGCGCAAATTTCTACAAATCTCTGTCCTAATTTGGCAGCAGTGCGGCTCGCTCCATCTTAGTTTACATAAAGGATGAAGTCACAGGCTATAAAACAATCCCTCCCAGCATATTAATGTTTTTTCCTCTTCTTAAAGGACAAATACTGATCTTTTGAGCCAGAGTCAGCAGAGGCAGCTGCTCGAAAAGCCAACAGCACCCTTTTCTGGCTTCCAGCTGAAGCACAGAAGGAAGCGTTGGGCTTTGCAGTGACCAGTTCAGTGCTCTGGGCTCCTGCCCCGTGGGCTCCTGCCCCGTGGGCTCCCTCTGAGCGAGTCCTGCCCGTGCGCTGAGCTGCCACACGGGAGCCTGCGGCTGCTCACGCTGTGGGGACGTGGGGAGCGTTGCAGTGACCTCACGCACAAACAATGGGGTTTTAAGAAAACAGGCACTCTCAGAGCGGCAGCAGGGAGTTGTCCCCACCCTACTATTGTGGGTGTTTGCTGGGCAGGGCTCTGATGGAGAGAGGAAGGGCGACAGTTTTCCTCCATTACCATGGGAGCGTTTTCTAACAGGAAATTTCAGGTGGAGCTGAGAAAAGGGTGAACCTCTGCACATATTAACCCAGCAGCTCCCCTCCCTGCGCGTGTTCCCGGAACAGGCACGCTGGGATGCAAAAGAACCACCCCAGCGGAGATGCTGAGGGGATGGGAAGGATTCCTGGGGCTTCAGCAAGGCCGAGCATGCAGCCCAGCCCCGTCATCCACACACAGACCCTGCTTCGGACTCGCCTCCCTGCCTCTCTCCCTCTCTCTCCACACCTGTAGCCTGCGTGGTTGGGTCCAAAAGCATCCACGCCAATTCCCCAGAGGAAAGCAGATGAGGTCTCCAGGCTTGGCCTCTGTTCCCCTCCAGTGCAGCAGCGCGAGGTCAGATAACCCAGGCTCGCTCTGCCGTGCCGCGCTCTTCTCCTCCAAGTACAAAACCCCCCACAAACACTCCCTGGACTCTGTACCCAGGATTCTCCTTCCTTTAACAGGCTTCTCCCTCCACACCCTTTGCTCTGGGCTGTGGATCTAACCCCTCAGCGCACTGCCAAAGCCAGGCCCACGGAGCCGGGTGCGCCGCTGCCACGCGAGGCTGCCCCGCGCCCCGCAGGCTCCTTCAGAGCCGGCCCTGAGCCACCCCGCTCCTCCTGCCCACAGGCAGCGGCCCAGGCCCCCTCCGTGCTGAGCAGCTGATGGAAAAAGGGAGCCAAGAAGCCCACTGACCTGTTTCACAGCCCCTCAGTGCCAGAAACGTGGTGGTCCTCCCTCCTGCTCCTTCAACACCGACTTCCATGGAACTTTGCACCAGGAGCAAGTTCCATGGTGAACCAGGTAACAAGTATCTCTTGTTCTCCAGAAATACCCACGAGGAACGTTTCACAGGACTGGTGAGAGTGTCTGGAGCAGCTCCAAGAGCAGCTCTGGGCTCCTGGCCGACCCCTGCCCTCTCCCTGGCTTTCAGACCCTCTGTGCCCACACCCCGACCCGGGGTCAGGGATGCAGAGCTGTTCAGCGTCGCTGCAGATACTGCGGCTGCAAGAACCAAAGCAGATTTGTTTGACTCCCAAGACCTCAATTCAGGCTACAGACCAAAACTTCTGCGTCAGTGCAGCAGCACCCAGAAACCGGGCTCAGACCGCAACAGATGCCACCCCCACTGCTAAACACTCCGGAGGAGCAGATGAAAGAAAACAGGTAAGAAAGCTCCAACCCTAACTCACACGGATTAGTGAGCAACGAGGCGCAGAGGCGGGAGGGAGGGTGAGCAAGAGCTGTGTCTCCGTCCCTCCCCGCAGCGCAGGAGCCTCCCCAAGCCCCCCACGCCCTCACCTCGTTGCTGATCGTTGAGTCGCGGTGCATCATCCTCTGGATGTGGGAATCCAGGCTGGCCCCCGAGGAGCACTTGGCCAAAGCTGCCGCGTGCGACTCCTTCTCCCGCTGCCGGACGATGGCCTCGCAGCCCAGCCACTCCGCCATGGTGTGCTCGTAGCAGGTGCGGATCTGGTCGTCAGCCTGCAGCGATGAGGGAGGGAGGCTCTTCGGACAGCTGTTCTCGGGAGAGCCCAGAAACCAGCACCTCCTGCCCCTCCCAGACACCCTGCACACGGCGGTCAAGCGCACGCTCATGTTAACTGTGCCAAGGTGGGACTTAAAGTCGCCCACCTGCAGCATAGCGCCAGCCAGAGCCTGACCCACAAAACTGCACAAAAATTAGAATGGAAAAACAACCATCCATCTCCTTCCTGCCTTCCAGAGGGGCACAGAACACCAGCAGCCAGCAGCTGCACCCACACAGGGGAACGTTGAGCTTGGTCCTATCCATTTTAGATTGGATATTAGGAAGGATTTCTGTGCAGAAGGGGCTGTTGGGCGTTGGAATGGGCTGCCCAGGGCAGGGGGGAGTCCCCGGGATCCCTGGAGGGGTTGAAGAGTCGGGCTGAGCCAGCGCTGAGGGGTCTGGGGGAGTTGGGAACGGTCCGGGGGAGGGTCACGGTGGGGCTGGAGGAGCTGCAGGGGCTTTTCCAACCCAGATGATCTGTGAATTCCTGCTTACCTGGGGCTTTCTCCCACCTCCTATCTACAGCCACGGTACAGAGGGGACCCAACACCCCGTGGGTTCACACAGACACTTCAAGCTGTGAAATACCCAGGGCAATACACCGGCCTGCCAAGCCGGCAGCACACCCAGACCAACCTCCTTCCTTTCTGCCTCCGTCATCCCGAACTGATAATGGCCCAAAAGGAAGGGCCAGACAGCCTTCCTGATCTCGTGCTGGATCCCGCCGTAGTAGATGAGCCGCAGCAGCTCCTGGTCCTTGTAGCTCTGCGGGGAGAGCTCTGGGTCAGCGCGGGCGCAGCCGGGAGATGAGCGGGCAGCCCCAGCCCAGGCACGCCGCCCCGCAGCGCCCGGGGTGCTGCCCCGGCCCTGCCCGCCCACTGCGGCTGCTCTCTCAGAGCTCCCCTTGGGCTTAAGCACAGCCAGAGGCCCGCGTGGACGGACATTCTGAGACAACACTGCCTCACCACAGCGCCCTGAAGTGACTCTGAGCCCCAGCAGCGCGTCAGGACTGCGGCAGCGGCTGCAGCTTTCTGGCCATCCCGCTGTAACAGCGTGCTGGGACCCCCCACCAGACCACAGCACTGAGGGTGACAGACACTGCTGCAGCCAGGCTGCGAGCAGACGCATGTTACAGAGAGAGAGCAGCCTTCACTCTCCAGCTCCCCCGTGTTGAGATTTAGGAGCCCTGTGCTCTGGGCAGGCTGGGGCAGGCTGCCCCACTTCTCTTCCCAAGGAATTCCTCAATTTACTTTACCTTACCACGCTACGACCGGTTAAGCGGCGCTGCCCCGGCCACCCCAAGCCCACCACAACCGGGCTGTCCCCGCAGCGCTGGCCCTACCGTGCTGTCCTGCAGGTATCTCTGCCATATGTCCGCAGTCAGCCCCGCGCGGGCGCTGCAGGGCACGTCGGGAGACACGATGTTGTGGTGAACCAGCGCGGACAGGTGGGTTCGCACCGTGGAGAGGTGTCTGCAATAGGCCAGCCCTGCATCAGGCAGAAGGAAATATTCAGCCAGAGGACATGGGGGGCTGTGGGGATGGAAGGGCAGGGGAAAGCTCTGACCCCATGGGAGCTGCACCCAGCCTGAGCAGCAAAGCAGGGAGTCTACTGGGACAGGGCGACATCTCGTCACCCTGTGGCACCAGCACTGCTGCTCGCTGGGCCGAAGCCCCAGGATCTCATTTCAGATGTTTTCTCCCAACCCTGAGCGTGTGTGTGCAGGGCCCTGCATGCCACAGGCCCCTGGCCGCTGCCCAGCCGCCCCAGCACCACTCCCAGCCCCGAGGCTGGGATTCCAGCCCTTGCCCATCACGGCATCGTGGATGTGCCAAGTACTCACAGCCGTAGAAGGCCCGGGAGAGGATCTGATACTTCATATTGTCACACAAGAGCTTCAGCGGAGCTCTGCCAACAAAAACATAGAGGCTGTGAGGAGAGGAATCGCCCCCACACGTTCCCCCAGCCCCTGCTTTGACCTGGCTGTTCCAGCTTTGCCTTCAGAGGAGCACCACAGGACCTCTGCCCAGCAATTCCTGCTGCACAGAGCAGCTGAGATGTCCCAGAGGAGGGAACAAGCCTCACTTTATGTCCCACTGGTCCCTGCAAACGGTCCCTGGACAACTGAGCCGAGTGTGAGGCTGGAGACACCACTTGCACTGTAACTGCTCTCACCCAGCCACCCCGCTGGGCTTTCACCCGTGACCCTCATTTTACCCGTATTTCTCCAAGCAGGTGCAGCAGAGCCATCGTACCTCTCGTGGCTGCAGCCGTTGGACGGCCCACCGTCGGAGGAGCCGCTCTGAGAGCAGGAGGAGCAGGAGGACTTGCGGGTGCTGGGTTGCCACATGGGAGGCAGGCCAGTGCCCGGTGCGTCCATCAGGTCCTGGGGCACTGTAAGAGGGCGGAGAGGAGCATCAGCTGCTGCCTGGCACAGCCCCGGGGTCAGCTGAGCCACGGGAGGTCAACGGAGAGGAGAGTTTTGATCAGCAAACACAGCAGCATCCCACACTTCCCAGAGAGAGTCCAGCCACCAGGCAGGACCCACAGCAGGTAATCACAGCACCAGAACTGGTGAGCTCAGGAGAGGGGGGGCAAGAAAAAGAGGGGCAAGAAAAAGAGGGGCAAGAAA